GAGGTGGTGCATATGGAGTGCCGTGGGCCTGAATAGACCGCAAAACTCAGGCAAATACCCTCAAGAATCCTGAAAGAAATGAAAGAAGATACGCATGGATTAAGTCGGATTAGATCGGACGGAGCCTTCTCGACGGGAGCAGAAACCTACAAACTGCTAGCCTACACATAACGAACGGACGCGATCAGGAAGAGGAGGATACGAACTTACCGCGCAGGCGAGCAATCCCTAGTGCCGGATGGTCCTCGGGCACGTCGCGGTAATGGTTGCGCCAGCGATCGGCCGCGTCCGTGATGGCCAACGCCTCCAGTAGATCGGCAGGATCAGCGCCGTCCTCGATACCAGGATACCAGGCCCCTGCCTCGCCAGGTCGAGGAAAATACAGGAAGAAGGGATTCAGCAACACGTCGAGGTCGCAGTAACCCCGGAGCAAGCCGATCAGCACCTGTTGAAGGAACGACTTCCACCGGGCGCCGGCTCTGAATCGTCGCTGCTTGTGATCAGTGCAGAACGCGTCCAAGTACCGCATGGCGCGACGCTTGGCGATGCTCACCGGGAAGGCGTGGGTGGAGTCCCAATAAGCCCGAAGATGCTCATCCTCGTAAGAAGCGTAAAGTCGCATTCATGTGCCGGAACCAACCCGAACTCAGAACGTGAGGGGATCAATCGAGGCAGCAAGGATCTCCCACGGAGCAGACTCGATCAAGTCGCGCACGGTGCACTCGTCAACTAGATCGTCTCGCCATTCTCCAAGCGGAGGCACGGGATCACGAAGAGGAATTAGCCACTCCATCGGCTTGGTGAAGCGATGAAACAGCAGATCCGCGTCCATCTCCACGATGCTTGTCTGACGAATACCCTGTGCACACCAGGGGACGATGTCATGGCTGCGAAAGCTGCGACGGTCGCGATAACCGGGGAGCCATTCCGATCGGGGAACAGTGGAGGGCAAAGCCGCCAGTTCGGTGTCCGACAGAGGACCGGACGGCATTCCGAACTCGTCCTTGGCACGACTCGACTCCGGAGAACTACTGTCACTTCCGGCGGCATCTGAGTCGCAGACGCGAGTAGAACCGGATCTGCCGGAAAGGCTCTCGCCACCGTCAGAATGAGCGCCCGCCTCAGAAGTTGCAGGGAAAGACGAAGCGCCTCCGCTGATGCCCTTGACGGTCGATCGAACAGATCGAGGAAGACGATCAGAGGAACCAGCGGACGGAGAAGACGACACCGACCCTTTAGCCTTTTAGCCGACAGCCACGGCAGACAGAATTCCGATCGAGTATCTAGACGCAGGGGCATGACTCGAAGCGCCAGCCTGGGAGGGACCTGAAGTCGATCGAACGGCCTTGGAGACACGGGCAGACTAGGCTGGAGAATCGGGCTCGGAGCGTGCTCGTTTGTGGCTCAGGGTCGAAGAGAGAAGGAACGCGTTGTTGGACAATCTCTCTTGCGCCTGGCCCCGTTCAGCCCGTAGATCGGTGACCTCCATGAAACGCTCGCCAAGCTGGCCTAGCAATTCATCTCTTTGAACTTCCAGAGCGTTTCTCTCCTGCTGAAGCGTTGTGAGCGTGGACTCGAGGTCCTGACACGGCTTCTGAGACCTCTCGACTTAGTTAATCCGCCTTTCCAACCGGGAGATAGTATCTCGAGCCGCTGAAACACGATTCTCTGTGACACAAGATACAAATTAGTACGACGCCGGCAAAAGGTATGCAGACAGCACTCACGGGTAGTGATATGCGCTGCCCTGGCTTGATCGCGCAGAGAAGTTGCCACCTGAACACGTTGAGAACCCTTCTGGAGATCCCAATCCAGTGTCGATGTCGGATCTTGCAAGCGGCCAAGCTCAGCTGTATGGGTTGCGATAGTGGTGTCAGCTATTCGCAAGCGACGCTCGTAGTTGTCATTCAAGGTACG